AAAAAAATTGGAAACCATCATTCACCTGCTCGCTCTGATGCAAATACTTGTTGCTCATTTTGATGCTTTTGTGATTAAGCGATTGTATATGATTGTTTATGTGTCCAATCCATTGCTCTAGTGCTCGCGCATCTTCGCAGTGAATTATACCAGTAGATGACCCATCAACTGCACGTACTTCAAACGAGTTAGTTCTAGAAATGAGTTTTTCGAGACAAAATTTTGAACCTGCTTGTACTTCCAGTTTACCTAAGATTGTCGGTACCCCATAGGTACCGTGTTAAGTATGCCATTGGAAGTGGTATGACTGTGATCGTCTTCCATTTCTCATCTTTTCCTTCTGCCCCGGCAGATTTTTCCTTGCCATCGTAGAGGCCCAAGTCTGACTGAGCTTTCATCGCGGACTGTAAGTACAGATGAGAAACGTTCCATAAAAATTCTGCAGTCTCACCTTCCATGTGTTCGGCTCGTAAATTTTATCCAGTGCACCTCCGGATCTTCCCGGTTGCAGAGATTGCGCAGGTCTAAATTAGAAATAAAGTTCTCTGCTAAGTATGAAGCTCGCATACACTCACTTGAGATAGGAAGCGATGTTTGAGTAGTGTCTAACCCCAAGTCGTAGTTCTTCACCTTCTGACTTCAACATTTCTACCACCTCATCGTGTGATCGCCCTTCTACTGGCTCTCCGTTAACTTCTACTATTGCGTCTCCAACATACAATTGTCCAGTTTGATCGGCTAAAAGCAAAGCTTCATCTTCTATAGTTTAAGAAAAGAAACTAAAGGAGGGTATTTTGTTTCCAAACAAAATAACCAAAATTATGGAATATGTAATAAGGTAATCTTCTAACTATGTAGCTACCATTCAGCTCACCTGGCATTCCAGGGAAGATTTTCGATATCACTATGGGCAGATTTTGAGAGTTTTCGGTCCCACCCTAGAAAAGCGCTGTGAAGAGTGAAATATCTCTGACTGCTCATATGACTGCTAAATATTCTAATATTAAAAACTGTGTCATGAGAAGTCTCAGGGCGGATTTGTTCGACAAGTTTTAACCA